ATATCTTGGAAGTAGATGAGGGGATGGAAAAATTTGTGCTGCCACTGGTTGCTGCATTTGCTGCAAGTTCTGCCCTTTCTTTAGCATTTTGTTGCAAATACTGGAGTGTCTGCACATACATGAAGAAAGAAAAGATATGGTGAATGCTGGTCAGCACACTAAAGCAAAAAACATATGACCATAAGATGGCTGTGCTAAATCAGACTACAGCTCTTTCTGTCCCAGTTTTCCATGTCTCAGTGGCTTATATCAAGAATAGTGCAACTGTCAGTAGTGCTTTAACAATTCAGTAGACCTAGAACTGGTTATCTATTGATTTCTATGCTGACCATTATCATCAGAAAGCATGTGGCACTTAAAACCATTGCACTGTTAATACTGTTGGATACTTATAATACATCCAGCTCTAAAGGAGAAACAAACCTCTTTGTCTTCTGTGAGTTTTGACAGTAGATAAACTAAAGAATCAAGATGTCTTGTATTTTTAGATTTCAGCTCATCGTACTTCTTTAAAAAATCCTCAGGAGTTCGAGAGAACTCTGCTATTTTTACCTGTAAAACACCACATAAGTAATAAATGTTTAATGTACATGATTAGCTCAGCATTCAAGACAGAAACATTGTGCAAGGAGGAAGACAATGAGGTGCAGGCTGGGGTTGCCACCAAAGTACTCCAGGGAATGGATTTTCGACTGAATGCTGCAGCACTGGTTTCCTGCTAATAGTTATGCTGGAGGAGAGTGGGAGTCCTGGGACTTCAGGTGATAGAGAAGGGACTGCAGAAGAGAAACAATGAAGGTAAGCACAAGAACTGCAGCAGGGCTCACTTTGCACATGCTCAGTCTGAAGCAATATAATTTTGTATCAGCAGGTTTAAGGAATTTGGCATTGATGAAGCCACTGGATCCACTTTGGATGCCCCCCCTAGCAAGAGAGATATCAACCAGACTGAGCTCAGTGCAGAGCCATAGAGATAGTGGGGTGTACTGCCTGTTGCCCAAAAGGGTTACAGACCCTGCTCTAAGGGGCATAGCAAAAGCATCACAGGCACTGCCACAAGCTGTGACACAGAAAATCACAGCTGACCCTAGGGAAAGAGTCCTTTCTGGAGAGAGTGGTGATGCTGGGACATGGCCAGAGATGGAGGAGTCTCCCAGAGATCTTCAAAATGCAGCTAAGCAGTCTGCTGTAGCTGTGATGCTGGCCCTGCTGGGAATAATGGGTTAGACTGCAGGTCTCTGTCTGTGTCTCCTACTTCAATCTTTTGACAAGTCTATAAACTGTCAGTGTAAATGATGCACGAGACTGGAATTAGAGAAAACAGGCAGTTCAGGCTACAAAGAGCTGAACTTCCAGACAAAATTAGCAACTCGGAGCTTGACTGATGGATTGCTTTTAAAAACAACAATGAAAAGCAATTATTACGGCCACGGAAGTATACCTGGTCATGAGAATATCAGGTTTCAATCCCTAATACTTGGAGATATTCAGAAGTCAGGTATTGTCCATATCAGCACACTTCATACAGTTACTCTTTCTCATTTATTTGATTCCTCCAAAGGACAACCCCTCTAAAATTTGAAACAGCCATCATAGGCACAAAATAAGCTATTTCTTTAAACTTCCGGCCCCATCTCAGTTCTAACACTCCCTATGTTCTCCCACCCATCCCTCCAATACGCAAGGATTTTACCTTTTTCCTGATCTAATCTTTCTACTTTATACCCCAAATTAAGACTCCAGATCAGATTCCTTTTTTTATACCCTTGCCAACATGATTTCACCATTATTCTACAAATAACTTGGCATGGCCATTACCCACCCCCCAACATGCGTCCAGCTCCACAAACACAGAGGTCAAGTTACCTCAGAGGAAAGCAGAGTAAGGAAAAGGTAGCTCATACCACAGGCCAAGAGAAATCATAGAATCACCATAAAATCACAGACTGGTTTGGGTTGGAAGGGACCTTAACGCTCACAGGCAGGGACACCTTCCACTAGAGCAGGTTACTCCAAGCCCCTGTGTCCATCCTGGCCTTGAACACTGCCAGGGATGGGGCAGCCACAGCTTCTCTGGGCACCCTGTGCCAGCGTCTCAGCACCCTCACAGGGAAGAGCTTCTGCCTAAGAGCTCATCTCAATCGCCTCTGTTCTGGCAGGTTAAAGCCATTCCCCTTGTCCTGTCCCTACAGGCCCTTGTCCAAAGCCCTTCTCCAGGTCTCCTGCAGCCCCTTTAGGCACTGGGGCTGCTCTAAGGTCTCCCCTTAAGGAGCCTTCTCTTCTCCAGGCTGAACCAGCCCAGCTCTCTCAGCTGGACTGAAATCACACTGAGGAATCTTAATCTTGAAGTTCTCTTTAGGGAGGAACGTGCTTTCAGAGCTGATGGAACCTCTATCAAGGACTGCAAAGAAAACATGCTGTCTCAGGAGTCCCACTGCCCTGGTGGGTCCCACTGGTAAGGTCTGAAATGCATGCTGGCTGTGCACCAACACTTACCTTCACGCTGTGTGCAGAGACAGCTGTGGTAACATATGGTGTTCGATTCTTCTGCAGAAGATCAATGTAGACTTCAGCTCCTTCCCCTCCATGAACATGCAGCAGGCTGAGCAACTCATTGACATCATGGTGAATGCGGAACTCGCTCATACTCCCACTTGAGGCTACGAGCAACATGGGACACAGAAACAAAGGTGCCAAGTTATTTTGCTGCTGCAAATGAAAATATACCCTGAATGTTTCCTGGCTACATTATGAGCTGCTACAAGGTCTGACTGGCACAAAGAAATACATTTTGCTTGCAATTTGTGCAGACAAAGGAGAGGTACCTGTTACCATGCCTGATTTAACTATACTGGTACAAACCCCAGTGATAACAGAGGGGAGCCAGCAGAGGATTTTTCAATCTGGTGGAGAAGTCACTGAATCATCATAAAGAAGTGCTGGTTTCTGTACTGACAGACCGCAGACACAGCTGGAACTGCTGGGTCTATCAGCCTGCCCATGCTGCTGCTTCTGAAGTCATTCAAATGCAGTTTTTCCATGTTTAGGGGTCTCCATATTTATATTCTTGCGCATTTTGTCAAGAGACAAGCACCAAATTCTGCGCATTTATTGAAATAGTGGCTGCAGAACTAAGAGTCTGTCTGAGGCACCGTGCAAGTACAGAGTCTAATGTAACACCTGTACAGATGCAGAATACCAAGCACATGGAAAAACATTTGCCAAAATCATTGAATCATTTAGGCTGGAAAAGATCTCTGCAAGGCCCAGTGCAAGTCTCCAAACAAAACTGCATCAAATTACATGCTGTGAAGGGCTTTCTCCAGTCCAAGCTTAAATGTCTCTAAAGATCCAGATTCCCACACCACTTGGGGCCCTTATCCTCACATGGAAACACCTTTTCCAACTGGTGTTTCCTCTGCTGCAGTTTGGCCAGGGCCTCTGGGGCTCTTGCCTGTGCCCCTCTGGCCCTAGCATCTCCAGGATCCCTTTGGGCAGCAGGAGATGCCATTGGATCCCCCTTCGCCTCCCTGTCTCTGGCTGCTCCTGCAGCCTTTCCTCCTGTGCCTCCACCCTGCATGGCCAGGGCCTCCCTGGCCTTGCTCCACTTCGTAAGTCTCTCACAAGGGCCCAGACTGGAGCATTTAGGATGTGGTGCCACAAACAAGGTGTTCCTTTTCCTTTATGTACTGGCCCTTGCTAGCAGCAGTGAGAACCAGCCTCCAGGACCTTCAGGTCACTTTCTTCTTGCAGATGTGCTCCTTCAAGACCAGGCTGGACGGGGCTTGGAGCACCCTGCTCTAGTGGAAGGTGTCCCTGCCCATGGCAGGGGGTTGGAATTGGATGAGCTTTAAGCTCCCTTCCAATACAAACTAGTCTGGGATCTATGATTGTGTTCCCAAATACTCAGCTTTTGCATTATTTCCAATTCCTTACAGTTTCTGTGAGCTCACTTCTTCAGCCTGTCAAGGTGCCCATGAGTGGTCACCATAACCCCAGCCCAAACCCCCAGCCCATGAACCCCTCATAGAACCATAGATCAGTTTGGGTTGGAAAGGACCTTAAAGCTCATCCCGTTCCAATCCCCTGCCACAGGTAGGGTCACCTTCCACTAGACTATGTCACCCAAAGCTCTGCCCAGCCTGGCCTTGAACACTGACAGGGATGGGTCATTTACCACTTCTCTGGGCACCCTGTGCCAGGGCCTTACCAGCCTCACAGGGAAGAGCTTCTTCCTTATCCCCACTCTGAACTTCCCCTGTTTCAGTCTGAACCCATCACCCCCTGTCCTATCACTACAGTCCCTGATGAAGAGTCCCTTTCTGCATCCTGCTGTGGGATGCATGATCTTGACCAAAGCCATCCCTCCCATCACCCTGCCCGTCAAAGCACACATCAAACGTCACCAGCCCCAGCAGGGAGCATCGGCACCAGTAACAACCTCCAGTTCCCCCTCGGGTTGCCCTGTAACAACCGAGGCGAGGCCAGGGGCGCAGGCCTTGCTCAGCGGGCCCCAACGGTACCTCCTCTTGTCCTAAGGGCTCCCGGAGACGCCGACACCGCACTCTGCTCGGGCCGGGAGTCCGAGGCACAGGAAACCCCGCCCGGGCCCAAGGAAACAGCCCATATCCGGGAACGACGCGGGCTCCCCATCCCCGGGAGGATGCTCGGACACAGCCCCCAGTGATCTGCTGTAGCCGAGACACCGGCCCTGCCGGCGGCAGAGCCAGGTCGCAGAACCCAGTCGGGTGCTGCGGTGGGACCCGCTGCTTCCCGCCCATCCCGCCCCAGTTTACCCGGGGCGGCGGGCACGGCTTCCCCGGCCCCGCGGTGGCTCCAGGCGGGACCGGGACCGGGACCGGGACCGGAACCACCACGACGACCACGACCACCACCACCACGACACGAACCCCAGCACCTGCCTTACCTGCCCGCGGGGAAGCTCCCGCCACCGCCGGCCGGAAGCGCACCCCGCGCCTGCGCACAGCGCCTCTTCCGCCCGGCCCGAGGCTGCGATGTTGTCGCTGCCGCCGGGGCTGCTCCGCCGCCTGCGGGAGGCGTCGCTGCCGTTGCCAGCCCCGCCGCAGCCGTCCCCTGCTCCCGTCCCGCCGCTGCCGCCCTTCACGTTCGCTCCCCGCCGGCTCCAGCTCGGCTCCCACCACCCGCTCTTCGAGGTGAGCGGCTGCCCCCCGCGCCCTGTCGGTGCGGAAGGCAGCGGCCGCGCTCCCGCAGAGCCCCGCTTGTCTCTGTGGAGAAGGCCTGGCTCCGCGGGCCTGTCCATCGCCTCTCCTCTCCTGTCCTCTCCTTTCCTCTCCCAGGATGGGGACGTTCACAGGCACCTCTACCTCCAGGGGGTCCTCACCAGCCTCGGCGAGGTGGCGGAGAAGCCCAAGTAAGTGGGATGGCGGCAGCTCTGCTGCTTGGTCTGTGCCTCCCGTTGGGGAGCAGCACTGTTGGTGTGGACCTCAGCCACTCGCGTTGTGCCGGTGCCAGGCTTATACGGGTACCAGTGCAAACACTGGGTCTTTGGGGACACAGTCATAGATCCCAGACTGATTTGGTTTGGAGGGGACCTTAAAGCTCATCCAGTTCCAACCCCTACCACGGGCAGGGACACCTTCCATTAGAGCGGGGTGCTCCAAGTCCCTGTGTCCAGCCTGGTCTTGAACACTGCCAGCGATGGGGCAGCCACAGCTTCCTTTGACCTTTTGGGGGCTGTTCATTCTGGGGAAGAGAAGCTGTGTGGAGACTTTAGAGCAGCTCCCAGTGCCTAAAGGGGCTACAGGAAACCTGGAGAGGGGCTTTGGACAAGGGCCTCCAGGGACAGGACTGGGGGAAAGGCTTTAACCTGCCAGAGGGTAGACTGAGATGAGCTCTTAGGCAGAAGGTCTTCCCTGTGAGGGTGCTGAGACGCTGGCACAGGGTGCCCAGAGAAGCTGTGGCTGCCCCATCCCTGGCAGTGTTCAAGTTGGTCAGAGACTTGGGTGACATGGTCTGGTGTGAGGTGTCCCTGCCCATGACAGAGGATTGGAACTGGATGAGCTTTAAGTTCCTTTCCAGCCCAAACCCACCTGGGATTTTATGCTGCAGTCAGCTGTCTGTCTAGATACTGCCTCTGTTGGCTGTCTAGATGTTTGTTGGATGCCATGGCATTTCACTGAGAGTTCCCATAACCAGAAAGGCATCTGTAATGTCTGAAAATTGGGATCCTAGCTAAACAAGAGGATTCAAGTGGCAGGTTATTATTCACCAAGTAAAAAACAGTGGGAGAGCCATGTGGTACAGACAGCCCCAGTCAGGAAGGCTGAGCCTGGGGGTTAGTCATCTTGCTGTAAAACCTGCTCTTGTACATAAAATTGAGGCAGTTGAGGTTTGTGTGAGGTTATCCTACAGCCTTGGCACAAAGTTCTCATCCACTTTCAAGTCCAACAGCTTGTTTCTGACATTCCTGCTTGTGGTTTATTCTTAATCGACGGACCTCTTCACAGGATGACAATATATATGATGCTTAAGCCATAACAGCAAATAAAGAGTTTCTAAGTACCATCATAATCTTCATTCCATTACACCTTGTGTTTAAGTATTATTCACAAAAAATGCCACAAACAAATATAGTCACTGAAGGGATATATGCAGCTTAAATTAAGGCTCTAATTTAAGGTACAGATGCTGTGATTTCCCTGCAGAGTATCAGAATTCAGTTGCCACATCCCTGGGTGCTGCCAGGTCTTTGACACACTGGAAGGCTACGAGCACCACTACAACACGCTGCACAGGAACGTGTGCTCCTTCTGCAAGCGCTCCTTTCCATCTTGGCATCTCCTGGATATCCACATCTTGGAGTGGCACGACTCACTCTTCCAGATAATGGCTGAGAAGCAAAACATGGTGAGTCGCTGTGCATAGCCTTTCGCCTGGGTTGGTGTGCACGTTACGGGCTGGCCCCCTTAAAGAATGACCATTTGGGAAGGATACCCTTGTTCCCAGCTGACACTTCTGACCTTTTCCACTTATTTTTACTTTTCCCCTGTTCCCCTGCCTTTCAGTACAAGTGCTTGGTAGAAGGCTGTGCAGAGAAGTTCAAGAGCAGCAAGGACAGAAAGGATCACTTGATCACTGTTCATCTTTATCCTGCTGACTTTCGGTTTGATAGACCAAAGAAAGTGAAAAGGTAACTGCAGAACGGCAGTAGCATAACTAGTTTTCACCTGTTAGAGGTGATGTGCTGCTCTGCTCTGCTGTGGCACTCCCTTTGCAGAGGAAGCAAGTTTATGTTCTCAGAGGTTCCGAAATGAAACAGGTAAACTTTCATGTGGCAATGTTTTACTTCATGTTAATGTTGAAAAGTGTCTTCTTTCCCTCCATGGGTGGCTCCAGGCTCTGCTCCCTTTGTGCCATTTCAAGTGTAAATGCATATCCCAGCATCTCTCTGTCACTTTGTGCATGTTTCTTGTAGGAAATCTCAAGCCTATTGAGTGAGTTACACTTTATAGACCGAAGAAAAGAACCTGGACACAAAGCTGTGTGCTATAATGCAGCCACCCTGAATACTTAGTAGAAACTCACACAAACCTATTACACAGCCCCCCAACACCCTTTTGGCTGTTCCGGGTGGTTTGTGCACCCAGATTGGTCTTGACCTGTTTCATCATTAAATACCCTGTAAGCCCCAAAGAAATAAATGACAACTAGTGAGGAAATGTGTAATATTTTCTCTTCGCAGTGGCCCCAAGCACATGAGCAGTCCCGCAAAGCAGGATGCCAGTGTGCCGATGGATATGATTGTGGAGACTGAGCAATTCCAAGTGGATCCCATGGAAGTAGCGCCCAGTGAGACCATGGAGATCCCTGAGCCTGCAGCCAGTTCTTTCTCCTCAGTGCCAGAGAAACGCCTCTATAAATCCAGGTCTGTACTGTCGGCCTCCACAGGCAAAAAAACCTCTGGGACTGAGACCATAGTCATCTTAATAGCGTTTTGCAGTGCTTAGCACAGCGCAGGTCAGGGTATTTCTGTGTTGAGGATAAAAGAGGTAAGATTTCCATGTATGCTTTAAAAGCCATTTTTAAAAAAGTGTAAGGAAGGCCAAAGTGTGAGTACCCTGTGAAAGCTGTGTCAGTAGGGTCCTGTTAATCTGCCAACCCGTGATCTCTTCCCAGGCTAGAGCAGAATGCTGTGGGTGTGAAGGCAAGAACCCTGTCCTAAAATACTCCGACGAGTCTTGTGATTTCTAACACTTTTCCATTCTGGCTGACTCGGGGCTGAGCTGGTGCGTTTCACTGCAGCTGTCTGTGCTCCCATGCAGGTGCAGGACAAGGCACTCACAGAACAAGTGAACATCCTACTCTGAGTCTTAGGTTTTGCAAAGCCAGAGCAGATTACTGGGTTTGGTGGTTTGCTTTTTGGTTTTGGTTTTGTGTTAAACATAAAATCTTAGCAAAAGGTTGAAACTGAATTTCTTAATGCTGGCTTGACTTCTGAAGTCATAGAATCATAGAATGGTATGGGTTGGAAAGGACCTTAAGATCATCCAGTTCCATACCCCTGCTGGGGTGTGCCATGACTGTGCTGGAGTGCCATGCAGGGAAACCTGCTTCTGTCAGTGGCTCCCTCTTCCTTTCCCTGTTGTCAGTTCTGCTTGTGTAAAGTGAGGTGAGCTTTACTGCTTCAGAGCTTTCTGCTGAGTCATGGAGTCTGAAAGTGCTCACCACACACTACTGCCAGTAGGGTCTTTTCTGTGTCATGGTTTACCTGACAAACTCCTGTGCTAAGCAGCCACCATGGTGACATTTTAAGCTTCACTGTCTTGTCCAGCATAACAGCTTATAAACCCTAAAGAAACCATCCCTTGAATTTGATGTGATGCTGCAGGTCAAAAGGAGAGTTGGCTGCTGAAAGGCCATGCTTTTACTGCTGTTTCTTCTCCTGCTTTTCACAGTCATGTGCTTCCACAAACCCCCACTGATGCTGCCCAGTGGCATATTGCATTTTTTAACACCTTACACCCTGTTGTTAAGAGAGGGGAGAACATAAATGTGAGAAATAAACGGGAAAGCAGACCAGTATTTCACCCATTTTTTGCATTACACTTCGGCATTTGAATTACACTTTGAATTACGCTTAGGTGTCCTGCTTCTCCAGTACCTTCCTCTTCCCAATCCTGACAGCTTGAACTGCTACAAAAGGCATAAAGCATCCTAGTGATGCTGTGAGAGATGGGGTGTTGATGTGTATTACAGCATGCCTCCCTTTCCAGGATCCCATCCACAATTTGCTTTGGACAAGGTGCTACCCGAGGATTTAAAGGACCAAGGAAAAAAGTCTGAAGGTCAATACAGCAGGTTTGTACAAGACAAGCAGGCGCTGGCTGCTTCTGCCTGCAGACATTGGCATCATGACCAAGTGGGGACATTTGCAGAATGTGCAAGGGTCCCACTCCCTAGTGGGGAGGCAGAAGGGTGAAAACAGGGGTTGTGCAGCAGCAGTGTGGGATACACATTGAGAGGAGCTTTGCTACAGTCCCTTTTTTGTCTCCATACCAGCTCCCTTTGGCAGCATTTCAGAGCTGACCCTTCCTGAGGCACAGCACTCTCTTTTCTGATCCCCTCTGAAATCCAACTACAGATAAATTCTTCTGCCTCTGTGTTGTGAGGTTTTGTCTCTCATCAGTGCCAGGACTGCTCTGGGCAGCAGTGGCTCTGTAGATAGATGGGCACATACTGCCTGAGCTTGCAGAAATGCAAATGCTGGTCTGAAACTCCAGGCGGCTGCAGGGATCCCATAGGCTTCACTATCCCATAGGAATCACTATCAGAAATGCAGTAGGGGTAACACGGAGCAAAACACACAGTTTCCCTCTTCCTGCAGGACATCCCCCCCAGCTCCCTCCCATGGCCCTGGGGCAGGTTGTCACACTTCCCTGCCAGCCGGGCTTGCACAGGGGGGTAGCAAAATAAAACCCAGAGGAAGAGCAAAGGAGATTACAACAATTCATCATTTTAATTTTGTTCTTTCATTTTCTTCTCTTTTCCCTTTTAAAGCTCCAGCAAGCACAGCCCTTGAGACATGGGGCAGGTTGAGCTCACACGGAGAGTCTCAGACTGCAGCAGACAGTGCTGGTGGGCCTGCAGCAGTGTGGAGGTGAGAGGAAATAGGTTGCTGCAGCTGACCCTACACAGGGTTATCTTCTTGATTCTTTCCTTTTGGGGGAAAAATGGATTCAGGGAATTCCAAGACAAAACCTGATGACTGTACAGGAGCTGGAGCCACTGACAGAAAAGGGGGGGGGGGAGACGTTGGTCCTTAATTCTAACCTGCATCTCACTGAAGGCTGCTCCGCTCCCTAACACTTGCTCTGGAACGCATATGAAAGGTTTGCTTGGGCCAGGAGAAGTGTTCTGGCGCCGTGCAGCTTGTTTCCACAGGGAATTGAAATGGAAGTGGCTTCCAGCAAGGTGAATAAATAAAAGGAGTTTTTACAAAATAACTTTGTAGAGAATTTAAACTGTCTTGAAGCCCAGGCAGAGTCAGATGTGAAGAATGAACCTCCCTTTGCTCCAGATACCCCCACAATCAGGTTGAGATGGAGGTTATTTTCCCTCTTGTCTTTCCCTTCCTTTTTAATCTCATCCTGCCAGAGGAAAAGGTTGATTGGAAACACAGAGCCAGGTCTCTGGTCCTGTATCACTTTTAAAATGGCCCATAAAGGAGAGAAAAAAAAAAAACAGGAGGTTGCAGGAGTGATGTTTATCCAAGAAGCTTAGGATCTGTGATTGCTCTTTTCCCTCCCCCCTCTCTGGGTGGAACAAAGGATAAAAAGGGCTTTGCAAAATCCTTGCAAATAGGAGCAGGGAATGATGCTTGGAGAGATTTCCCTGACAGTTTTAGAATGCTTTGCTGTGTTTAAAACTCACTCGGCTTGTCTGGCCCTAATCCTTCCTCAGCCTCCAGAGAGAGCTGTCTTTGGCTGTCCAGGAGGTCCAGCCTCACCTTCTCCTGCTGCTGGTCCCCCAGAGACAGTCCATGGTGCAGGACAGGGAAGACCCGGCTCTGTCACCACCTTTGTGGCCACCACCCTGATGCTGCTGCCACATGTCTGCACAAGGACATCTATCAGCAGTGACCAGCAATGACCAAAAATCACCTTCCAGCACTACAAGCCCTTAACGAGGCTTCTTTCCCCAAGCTGGAATAACTGGAGATTGGAGGCAGGCATCACATCACAGGAAATGCCTGCATGCTTTGGCCTGTGATGGTACAAAGATCATGCAGAAGCAGCCCAGTCCACTTCCCCTTATGTGTTTAGGTCCTGAGTTTCCACCTGGAAATTCCTTTCTTCCCTTTTCCTAGACTCCAGGCCCAGAGCTTAAGTAAAAGATTAATACTGTAATTACAGCCTCAGGGCTCCTGACTCAGTAACTCTTCTGGGTCACCAGTTTCTTCCAGAGCATGGGCATGGGCATGTGCATGTGCATCCCCATATTTGACAGCAAAGCAAACAGCCGTGTTTCTGACCTCTCCATAAATGACCCATGACTAAATGCACTCTGCAAGCAGGGACCAGCTGGAAGTCTCCTCAGAGCTGATATTCTCAGAGCCTGGCTGCCCTCCAGGAATAAGGCTCCTCAGAGCACAAGCAGGCTCTTGCAAGCAGCAGGTGTCAGGAGGGAGGAAGATGGACTCCAGGCACCTTAGCTCATAGGGTGCTTTGGGTGGGAAGGGACCTTACAAAACCATCCAGTCCGACCCCCCTGCCAGGGGCAGGGTCACCTTCTACTAGACCAGGTGTGAGAGCCCATCCAACCTGGCCTTGACCCATAGACAAGCACAAGATTTTCCAGCTCATCAGAACTTTGCCCTCTGAGATTGAACAGCGATGGGGCGGCAGGTTCAGCCCTCTCATGGTGATGGATATTTGCAGAGTCAAATAAATCCCTCCTGTTCTGGGGCTGAGGGCACGGGTTTGTACTTCATTGATTTATTTCCTCTTGGTTGATCTCTCCCTGCTGAATTACGCCTTAGTGATCGAACCAAAGCTCAGAGGTCGGCTGTGGACGTGCCATATAGTGCTTGTCAGGGCACTCCCAGCTCCACACCAAAGATCTTTATGTTACTTAATGGCTTCTATTTCGGTTTGGACTTAGCAGTTTGGACCTGACAAACCCTCAGGTGGCTTTGGGTAAGAAAGGACCTTCCACCGCCTGGAATACTATCCCATATCATGCACCAGCCTTAGGGAAAATCAAATGGTACAATGTATTTGCAGAAAACTACACTGCGAGCAATGGGTGGTGGGACTTCCAAACATTGGGATACACGTTTAGCAAATGACCTGGTCAGTCAGCACTAGGGGATCTGCCAATCTGGATGCCTAAACCCCACGGCAGAAGGGTTGCTGTGCCTGGGTGCATGAGGGCACGTCATCCCAGTGCTCCCCTTGCCCCCAGTAGCACCAGCATCACGAACTGGCCCCACCCTGGGAGTGGCCACAGCAGCAAAACTGCGGTCAAAGAGCGACTGAGGGCCAGGGAGCACAGGAACAGCCATGGAGAGGTGAGTCCCTGTGGGATGGCTCAAGGCAGCAGGATACAGGCAGACACTGGGCACAGGTGGGTGCAGCAGGAGCTGTGGGTGCAGGATACAGGCAGACACTGGGCACAGGTGGGTGCAGCAGGAGCTGTGGCTGCAGGATACAGGCAAACACTGGGCACATGTGGGTACAGCAGGAGCTGTGGGTGCAGGAAGGCCCCAGCCAACACAGCTCCTGCCAACAGGGTTCCCCCATCTCTCTGCAGCATGAGGATCCTGTGGCTCTGCAGCACCACCGTTCTGCTGGGCGCTGCCCTTCTGCCTGCCCCTGGCAGCACCCAGGTGAGCCCCATCCATCCATCCATCCATCCATCCATCCATCCATCCATCCATCCATCCATCCTCTGCCTGCCCTCCCTCTGCCCTTGGCATTAGCAGGCAGAGGGAGTCCTCTGTGCTCTGTGCCACCCCCTGGCACCTTCTCCCCACAGGCTCTGGGCAACCCCGGGATGAAGGACCTGTCTACGGAGGAGGATGTGGCCAAGGAAATGTAAGAGGCGCCCACATCTGGCTTGGGAACAAAAACAAAGCAACACCTCAGCAGCCAAATGAGCCTGTTTGCTCCCCAAGATCCTAATTGCAGCCTCCTGGGGATGGGGGTTTCTCTCACCATGGTCCCTGCACCCTGATGTGATGGGATGCCCCGGGACATGGGGATGTTCAGTGAGCCTGACACACTGGGACCTTCCCTAGCTGAATTTGCTTCCCTCTTCCAGCATCCTGGGAGTTCGTGCTGTGGAGCCACCAGAGGAGGCTGAGGTCTCCAGAGACGTGGAACCAGGCTCAAAGGTTGTCTCCGGCAGCGCCTGGGCTCGCTGGGTTGCCCGCCAAGCCCAGGCAGGACCAGAGCAGGACCTTGACCATCTCCACCACTCCCAGGATGATGCTGCAAAGGATGATGCCTATGAGCGACCACTGATGCTGTCCCTGCAGGTGCAGAATGGCCCCGAGGAGGACCATGACCACCTTCACCACCGCTGAGCAGTGGAGACAGGCTCCAGATGCACAATGAGGGGTGGGAACATCCCTGGTCCTCATCCCTCCCCACCACCCTTGAGCCCTCCAATAAACCCAATTAAAGCACCTCCCATATGAAGCCAAGCTGAGAAAACTGGGATTGTTCAGCATGAAGAAGCTGTGTGGAGACCTCAGAGCAGCTTCCAGTATCTGAAGAGAGCTACAAGGATGCTGGAGAGGGACTCTTCATCAGGGACAGTAGTGATAGGACAAGGGGTGATGGGTTCAGACTGAAACAGGGGAAGATCAGGTTGGATATAAAGGCAGAAGTTCTTCCCTGTGAGGGTGCTGAGATGCTGGCACAGGGTGCCCCGAAAAGCTGTGGCTGCCCCATCCCTGGCAGTGTTCAAGGCCAGGTTGGATGGGGCTTGGAGCAACCTGCTCTAGTGGCAAGGGTTGGAACTGGATGAGCTTTAAGGTCCTTTCCAACCCAAACCAGTCTGGGATTCAATAATTTCCCCTCTATGTCCTGGTGTGCTCCTCATTGCTTCCAGAATCCTATTGCCAAGTGCAAGGCTCCAAAAGTTGGGAGACGTCATCATTGGGCTCACTAAGAGACCCCGAGGAGGGTGAGAACGATGCCTCAGGGTGGGTGACTCTGACCATCACCGTGGTCTCAGTGAACCCAGCTGAGGCCGAGGCTGGGCAAACTCAGCACTGCACCCAAGAAGGTGCCATGGGCTGTCCCCTGCCCAGGGCACACATGGACCTATTCTCCATACGGCTGCTCTTGCCCAGCAGTGGGGAGCAGTGTGATGATGGGGTCTCAGTGAACCCAAACATATCCCAGCTCAGCAGAGACCCCACAGCAAGAATCTTCCATCTTCCTGCAGCGCTGGGAAAACCCTTTAATAGTGATGGGAAATTGCTCCCAGCTGTCGGTTGTCTCACTTGAGGCACTTGTCACTTGCCACCGGGTCTCAGACCCCTCTGTGGGCCGATGCGTGGGGCTGATGTGCTGCAGGGGACCAGCACCCCCGCGGGCTCAGCTGTCGGTGAAGTTCGCTTTGCGCTTCTCCACAAAGGCTGACATCCCCTCCTTGCGGTCAGCCTGTGAGGAGCAGAGGGATGGGCTCAGGGGAGGGAGGCTGTGCCCACTCTGCTGTCCCCACCACACTGAGGACAACCCCTACTCACAGTGGCAAAGGTGGCATAAAAAAGCCGCTTCTCCGTCCTCATCCCCTCCACCAGCGTTGTCTCAAAGGCTGAAAGCAAAAGAGAAGTTAGGGAGACCCCATGGCCTGCAGCAGCCCCATGGCATTTCCACTGGCCCCCATCCCCTACCACTGTTGACTGACTCCTTTGCCATGGCAGCCACCAGCTTGGAGTTGCTGGCAATCTTCTCAGCACAGGCAACAGCCGCATCCACGAGTTTCTCCACAGGGAAGATTTTGCTGACCAGACCTAGGATGGACAGTGGGGAGCTGTTGGGACAGCTCCCTGCTGTCCCCCCCCAGTGCTGGGACTGGCACGTGGTCCTACCTGCTTCCTTTGCCTCTTGTGCAGAAATCCGGTCCCCAGTGAGCACCATCTCCATGGCCAGTGACTTCCCCACTGCCCTGGTCAACCTCTGTGTCCCTCCAGCACCTGGAGCCATTTGGGGAAGGGAAAAGCCCAGAGAAGTATACCTCGGTGTTCCTGCTGTCCCTGCTCCAGTGGGGATGGACCCCCTTAGCAGGACCCCTGTGCTCACCTGGGATGGTTCCCAGCAGGATTTCGGGTTGTCCAAACTGTGCTTTCTCCCCAGCATAGATGATGTCGCACATCATGGCCAGCTCGCACCCACCACCCAGCTGGGACAGGGGAGAAAGAGGGGGGGGTAAGAGGGGTAAAGGGCTGAGGATTCAGGCATAAGGAAGCTGGGGGGGACTCACAGCGTAGCCATTGACAGCAGCGATGATGGGCTTGCGGATGGTAGAGATTTTGTCCCAGCTGATAAGAAAGCTGCTGCTGTAACAGTCCTGGAAGGTTTTATTCTGCATCTCCTTGATGTCTGCACCAGCTGCAAAGGGAATTGAGGTGGGTTACCTCTTCCCACTCCCCCTCCAAAGCCTGGGGTGGGGAACGCATCCTGCCCTACCTGCGAAGGCTTTTTCGCTGCCAGTGATGACGATGGCCCCCACTTGCGGGTCGTTCTGCAGGGTCTGCAGCACATGCCCCAGCTCCTCCATCAGCCCGTCGCACAGGGCATTGAGCGCCTGCGGCCGGTTCAGCTGGATCAGGCCCACGCTCTGCCGTGCCCCCGTCTTCTGCACCGCCAGGTACTGGAACGCAGCTCCTGCCCGGCAGCACCGCCCCGTTAGGCAGCAGGCTGCCTACAACCGGGAGAGATCACGCCCCCTTCCCCCTCCACCTGCCCTCCGATCAGCCACGGCTCCGTGCTGCTTTAAGGTGACCTTGAGATCGGTGGGCACACGGCGGGGTCACCGGCAGCCCGCTGGGATGTCACCCCCTGGGATGGGTGAACGGGGCTCCTGGTGCACTCACTCCCGACCCGAGCAGGGTCACTCCGGTGACCACCTTCCGGTGCCTGCCCGATGCGCGGGGCTGGGATCCAGCACACGGTGCCGGGCACACGCACGGGACGGGGTCACGCGCGGTGCACAGACGCTGTCACGCGGCGCCACAGCCCCGTACATGGTGCAAGGACCCGGGGCCCGTGACCGGTGTTGAGGCCCCTCCCGGTGACCTCCGCTCCGGTTCCGCCCCCCCCATCCCCGCTCACCGGCGCTACAGCCCCGAGCCCCGAGTAAGGGGCGGGGCGGCGGAGGGAGGAACGCGCGACGACCCGCGGCGACGGCGGGACGGAGGAGCCCCAGAACGGAAGCGGCCATGGCGGAGAGCGGCGCAGCTCCCTCCGCCCCGCCCCTGCTCCCATTGGCTGGGGTGGCCCCGCCCCGCCCCGCCCCATCCTCATTGGCCGAGGCCCCTCGGCGCGTTTACCGGGAGGGGCTCTCCCGGTGCCGTGGGCAGAGGTAGCCGGGCTCCGAGCTGCTCGCCCAGCGCTGCGGGACGGCAGTGGTGTCCCGCGGGGTGGGTTTAGAGGCGCGGCTCCCCCGACACGTTCCACGCAAACACGGGGCCCCAGTGCATGGGGGAGGGGTGCAGGTACGGGAGCGAGCGGCTGCCCCGGGCACGGTGAGCCCTGCAGCGGAGGCAGCACACGCGGTGCCCGGTGGAGCGGGGTGCGCGTGTGTGTGCGTGCGTGCGCGTGCGTGCGCGTGCTTGCGCCCCGCGACCCTGAGCGGCGGCTCTGCTGCTGCGGGGAGATTCGTGTGCGTGTCTCCGTGTGCAAGCATGCGCGGGACAACGCGTCGTCCGCACCGGGAGGGGAAGGGGGGGGCTGCTGCGTGCCGGGCTCACGCGTGAGGCCGTGCGTGAGTCCCGCCCGGAGGCCGGGTCTCAGCGGCCGGCGCTCTCCCGTGCGCCCAGGCGAGCCGAGCTGCGGGATGTGGCGGAGCACGGCGGCGTGCTGGGCGCTGATGCTGCTGGCCGCAGCCTTCTGCGACACGGTGGCCGGTAAGGGCGGGCGCGGTGGTGCCCGGGGGGCCGCCCGTGGCGGAGCGCGGGGGGCCGCCCGCAGCCGGGTGAAGGCGGCTGTGCCCCGGTACGGCTCGTCCCTGCGCGTAGCCGGGGCGGCGGCGGCGGGAGCGGCGGCCGGGGTGGCAGCGGGGGCCGCCCTGCGCCGGGCACGGCTGGCTGGGGAGCTGGAGGTGGGTGAAGGCGCCGAGTACCGTGATGGCAACTGGTCTGCCAGCGCCTGGACCTCCACCGCAGCGGGACGGGCCCCGCCGGGCTGGGCAGTGTCCTGGCTCTGCCCCTTGGCTGCCGTCCTCCGCCGCTGATGGTTTCGGGAGGAACATGGCCCGTGTCTGGTGCAGCTACCGATGCCGAGAGGACCAGCCTCCCCACCCCGGGGCTGAGCCCACCCCTTGGGATACCAGCAGCTCCCAGGACTGCGCCCGGCCTCATCCGTTATCTACCGCCAGCAGGGCAGGACCCCATGGAAGCCCCGCCACACGTCCTTGCCCTCCAGCCCGTGCCAAACCCCATCGACTTGGGCAACCCCGTTAGTGCTGCTCCTCCCTCTTTAGACGTGGGTCTCGCAGTGTTTGAGGGATGAGGAGGCAGCAATAAAGCTGAGCGGAAAGAAGTTATAACTGGATCCAGGGTGAGGGGCTAAGGACAGGCACCTTGAGATGGCCCCAGCACCCTATCCATGCAGGTTTTATTTTGGAATTCAAATCCCAGAGACGGCCAAGACCACAGTGAGGAAATGGCTCCTCAGAGCTGTTGTCCTGGCAGGAAGCAGCACCAGGCCTCCTTTCCCCACAGCAACCACTGTCCAGCATGGGGACACCTGGGGGCAGCTCCTCATCCCCACCACAGGGATTCTGCTCCCCTGCAGCAGCCCAAGATCTGAAACTGGGGGCTGCCCTGGCAGAGCCACTTTAATCTCACACCAAAGCTCCATGCTGACGTGGCTCCAGCCCATGCACCTGCAGGCGGTGCCTCTCTCCCCCATGGGACAGGTCTCAGTCCAGTGTCACCCTGCCCAGGCGTCCAGCCCGGAAATCCCGCAGGAACTCATAGGCAGCAGCAGGGTAGTTGAGCATCATCATGTTGACATTCCCTGGAGATGGGGGGGATGCAGAAGGAGACATCAGTGGAGCCTGGAGCCACCCTGGGATCCCCTGCAACCCAGGAGGCAGAGATCCCCTCTAGGCACTCACCTGTGCCCGTCAATACCTTCACCTTCTGCGTCCTGCCCTGGGCAAGGGCCACGTGCCTCAGCACAACCCCAATGTCATCGCAGGCCTCAGCCAGTCCATAACGCTGTACATACCTGCCAAAGGAGGTGGGGTGCATTGCTTCTGCCCTTCAAGCTCCCTGAGGACTAAAGAGCAGCAGGTGCAGCCCAGGGCGCTCTCCAGCTTCCCCACTGGCTCACCTGAACTGCTGCTGCTTGTTCAGGGCATACAGGAGGTAGTCAGCCATGATGTCCTCCCCAACGAAGTGGTCATGGATGGCTCCTGGAAAACAGGATCAAGCCCCAGCTCCTGCAGCCCTAGCCAAACCCTGGCCACCCCTCCTGCCATCTACATGCCACCTGTGGGCATCCAGGTAGCACGTGCTGGCCCTACGAGCAGCGGTCTCAGCCCAGCCTCATGTGAGGGCACACAGACACATCTGGGGAGTCCCCCAAGCCACAGCAGCCAGCTCACCGCACAGTGCCAGCTTCATGCCTGTCTCCACATCGCCCAGCTTTGGTGCCAACACGCCAGGAGTATCCACCAGGTACATCACGGGCTTCTCGCAGACCTGGGATGGGGGAGAGAGGGCTGTTAAGACACACTGCTTGGTAACTGCAATGTCACAGACTTGAATGTGGCTAACAAGCAAGGTGTTGAATTGTTTTGTTAAGGTCTTGCTGGAAAGGGGACCTGAGAGACCTTTTGAGATCAGCTCTGCATGCCTTGAGCAAGAAAAGGCAAAGGCCAGCACCCACCCAGCTAGCAGGGACAGTACCTGGATTCTGGTCAGCACTGCCTTAGTGATACCAGGGTCACCACCGACAGGAGTGGCTTTCCCTTTGGGGAGAGACAGGAGTCAGACAAACATGTGACATCCTGTCCCATCAGAGACTCCTCCCCAAGGCCAGGCACCACAGAGAAATACCTTTTTTGAGGTGCAGCCTCCGCAGGGAGTTGATGAGAGAGGACTTGCCCACGTTGGGCACACCAATCACCAGGATGCTGTACTCGGTGCTCTGGAAGTGATGTGGATGTGGGCAGGGAGCAACCTGCCCTTGGCCACCCGCCCCAGGAGCAACAGGCAGCCACAAAAGCAGAACTACCCAGCCTTTGCTGGTGCTTTTGGCCTTGGCTCTTGAACTGGAGAAGCTGCCAACAGCCACCCTAACTCCCTGCACACACTGGCAGTCTCACCTCAGCCCTGTGGTAGCGAGGGCTGTTGTCCACCAAGTTGGCAACCATGGGAACAATCTGCAGAGAGACACAGAGAAGGGCTGTAACTGTGACTCTGCACCCACACTGGCCACTCACTCAGAGGACACCATGCCAGAAGGATGCACAAAATGGGGGCCAAGCAGAGGACAGGGCTCGTATGGACCGCTGTGAACCAGCCAGCATCACTTCCTCGCAGTGGGGCACTGAGGCCTCTCCATGGGGCTGGGAAAAACAGTGCATGGCCCTCAGCTTCTGGAAGCAAGACGCGGGGCTGGGCTTGGAGCTACTGGTTCATTTGTTACCTTCTTGACATTGACATCACGCTTGCAGTCAGCAAAGACAACATGTGAGCATTGCTGTTGCTTCAGGTGCTCCAATACTGTCTGGAGATGACAGGAAGAGGCATTGCTGGTACCTGCTAGCATGGACCCATGGACCCCCAGCCAGCCCTGCCACAGTGCTCACCGGCTGCCGGCTGGGATCAGCCAGGTCCATCTTGTTCAGCACCAGGATGTGCGGGCGGATGCCCAGCACCTCCTTCAGAATGGGGTTACGGCCCGACAGTGGGATGTGAGCACCGTTAAGGACAGTGACTGTACACTGGCATGGACGCAGGTACTGGGGTGAACAAGCTCTGTGTGAGGGGAAGCTGATGGGGCTGTTGCAGAGCTGGAGAGGGGTATGGCACAGAAGCATGTACTGGGGTGGACCAGTTCCTCAGGGCAGGAAACTAATGGGTCTGTTGTGCAGCTAGAGAAGGGTATTCCATGGAAGCAGGTACAGGGGTGGACTAGTTGTTGGTGGGGGTAAGCTGACGGGGCTCGAGTGGGGCTGTTGTGCTGCTGGAGAGGGGTATGGGGCTGGGAGAAGAGGCGAACTGGATGGACACGGGGCAGCTGGGGCACACGGGGCAGTGAAAACCCCACCGATGCAGGGGACAGCGTCCCGGAGAGCCATCTCCCGCTGCGCCGGGGGACACGGGGGGGGGGGGGGGGTGCGGGACAGGACGAGCCGTGCTGGAGGATATGCGAGCGTCGTGCACCTCGATGAGGCAGTCGGCGCGCCGCAGGGAGCTCCGCATCTGCCGCAGGCCTGCAGCACAGCACGGGGTGAGAGGCGGCGGCGGCGAAAGCGAAGGAGCGGCGGTGCCAGCCCGCCCCGCTCCCAACACCCCTCACCTTTGGCCATGTGCCCCGGGAACCAGGAGACCACATCGCGGCCGCCGAAATCGAAGCACTCCCGGAACCGCCGGGACCCAGACCCGATCCCAGACCCCGCCGCGGCCGCCCGGAGCAGCACCTCACACCCCCTCATGGCACTTCTGCGTCACATCCGGCGCGACGCGCGGGGAGGAGCCGCATCGCCCCGCCTGCGAGAGCGCGCGGCTGGGCGGGGCTTCCCCTCAGCTGCTAACGGCTGGCTCCCCGCGGCGCTATGGCGGAGAAGCGGCCTGCGGGCGGGCCGGTGCCGGGTACGGGCCCCGGCGGCACGGGCAGTACCGGGCCCCGCAGCGAGGGGGAGGTACCCCCGGCAGCGGGGCCCGGTCCCCAAGCTACCCCCCAGCCGCAGCCGCCTCCGCCAGCCCCTCAGCCCACCGCGGAGCCAGCCCCGCCGCAGTGTCCGCTGGACGACACCCGCTACCTGATCGCCAGCACCAACTGGTACTAAGGCTGCGGACCCTTGTCCCCGCCGGGCACGAGCCAAGGAGCCGCGTCCATGCCCTGCAGAAGGAGAAGCCTCTCTGCGTGTGTCTGCCCGGCCGGGTTCTCAATAAAGGAGGCTGAGCGGCAAAGCACAGGGTTTATTTCTGCACCTCAGGGCCGTGGGGTGTCTCAAGGAGCTGGTTGAGGCGCTCGGCCTCTCTCCAGCCAGACAGCAGCGCTCCGTGGGTGGTGGAGTAGAAGGTGCGGTGCGTGGCCTCACCAGCGAAGAGGAGCTGCAGGGGCTGCAAGGTGGGCAGTGAGTGCTGGGGGCTTGCTGCCCCGCCCCCCCCCCCCCCTCCCCCCCCCCGCAGCACAACGGGGTTATCCTAACCCAGCCTCAATTCCCTGTCCTCTGGCACCCTGCATGTGCATGCTCCATAGGGCACCTTCCCTTCCTTAGAGACCCACCCCATACTGTGAGCATCACAGAATCAACCAGGTTGGGAAAGACCTTTAAGATCGAGTCCAGCCCTTACCCCAGCACTGCCAAGGCCACCACTAACCCATGGCACTGAGGCCTTGTCTCCACGGTGTGTGAACACTGCAGGGATGGTGACTCCAGCACTGCCCTGGGCAGCCTGTTCCAGTGCCTGAGCACTCTCTGGGGAAGGAATTGCTCCTCATCTCCATCTAAACCTGCCCTGGTGCAGCTTGAGGCCATTTCCTTTTGTCCTGTCCCTTGTAACTTGGGAAGAGGCTGACCCCCACATGACTGCAACCTCCTGATGCCAGAAAGTGTTTGGAAGCAGCCAAGTGTCCCCAGATTTTATGGAAGTGGGGTTCCCTCCACACCCGTGGAGCTCGGTGGGAAAAGCCAAGGGGGGTTGGTTGGTGACATGAACACTGGTGACTCCCAACTGGAGTGTAAGTGAGGAATACCATGTCCCTGCGCTCCTCGTGGCCTAGGGTACCCTGGCCCCAAGCCAGGAGATCCTGCTTCTTCCATAGCCACTGCCATCCCCCAACCTAAAGCAGTTACCCTGGGGTCCTCGGGGTCCACGGGCAGGGGCTGAGCCAGGATGTCAATGTCATCTCCGGAGCTGCCAACGGCCACGTAGCTGTAGGATCCCCGGGTGTAGGGAGTGCTGTGCCACTGGGACCGGAGCACGCTCCTGGGAGTGGGCAGGAGTGGGTTCCCTGTGGGTGCAGAATCTCAGTGGGATTCAGAAATCCAGGGGGATGGGGTGACAAGGGCAGAGGAGGCAGTGGTTACCTGTAAGTGTGCGGAGCATGTGTGTCATGGTGCTGAGGACTTCTGCATCACTCAGTGTCTCCATGTACTCTGACTCCTTCCCTGCGATGAAGCCACAGAGGACGTGCCCATGCCTGGGGAGGAAAGATGGGGTTGAGATCTACCACCCTCCTGCTGCTCACCAGGAAACATGGGAGCACTGATGCATCACAGGCCACCAGTGACCCAGAGACGGTCTTGAAGCTCAAGACAGAACCAAGACACTCTCACATTGTCTAGGAGATGCCCTAACCCCTGTTGCTGGTTCTCCTATCACATACTGCTCTGGTGGTTGGAGGACCACAAATCCAATGAGCTTCTTGAACCAGTTGGCCTCCAGGTCGGTGCTGGGCTTCTCGAGGGGAGACTCATCCTCCCACACCACTTCAATGAGCTGCTGCTGGGGCTCCCAGAAAGGCTGCTCGAACTCCAGAAAGATCTTGTTGTTGGTGCCAAAACCCAGGCGGCGAATAGCCTCTGCTTTCCGTTCAGGCAGGGGAGGCTGGAAGAAGTCCTGGTGGCGTTCCTTGAGGAAACCTGTAGGCAGATGATTAGGCAGAAGAACCAGCACCTCTGCTGGGCTCTGAAGTGGGGTCAGAGCCCATTTCCATCCTCCCCTCTCCCACCAGGAGCCTGCCCATCATCAGCCATGCCAACTGGTTGGAGGGGACAGGCAGGGCAAGGAAAGGTGTTGATGTCCTCACCCAGTGGGACGGTGACAATGACGTGGTCGGCGAGGAAGGCGTCTCCATCTTCACACTCCACACGGACAGGGAAATCCCTAGTGTTATCCCCTTCCTCACAGAAGGACCCTTGCCACTGGATGGTCCTCACTGCCTTGTTGAGCAGCACCGTGCCCTCAGGGAGAGTTGAGAGCATGTGCTCGGCCAAGCTGCTGTAGCCACTGCAGGAGGAGGTGCTGATGGGAATAGGGTGCCCCCATAAAATGCTCTTCCATTTCCCTCTCCAGAGCCCTGTGCTTACCCCGGGAAAGTGCAGTCCAGGCCTGGCAGGGAAACGTACTCCCCAAAGGGCTCTAGGGCCACCAGGTCCATGCTGTGGGTGCCACTGATGCAACACTCCAGCTTGAGGCATGTGGCGAGGATGGCCAGCTGGAGCCGCCGGGCATCCTCCTTGCCCCCCCCCAAAGCGGGGACCCTGCGAGTGATCTCTGCCCGCACGTACTGTCCCACACTGGACGCTGGTGGCTCCTCAGCACCCCGAAAATCACGGGCAGAGGCCAGGAGGGTGTCAAAGAGGTCATGGGCTTCACTCACCGCCTGCGGGCTCAGCGCCCTCCCTGAGCTGCCGTAAGTGATGGAGGGCAGCGGGGGGTGACCCCCTGCCTCTGCCCGCTGGTTTTCCTCCCGGGCAGCCTCCGGGCCCAGCAGCCCATAGCGGGTGGCGAGGCAGAAGACAGGGTTCGCTGGCGAGGGGCCGTGGATCCAATGTGCCCCCATCTCTGCGAGCCCTGACGCTGCGGAGGAGGAGGGTATCACCCCAGGGCAGGACCCCCAGAACCAGCTGGAGTCAGCGGACCCTGCCCAACCCCCTGTTCCACTCGTCACTGTCTCCAGTGTGCTCCCACTGCACCCGCAAGACCAGACACCCCCAGCCCCGTGTCCCCCCACTCAGGAACCGGCCCCACAGCGGCGGTCGCGGTGCAGCTCCCCCATCCCCGGTGCTACCCCTGGGGCGGGTCCGGAGCTGGGGCCACCCCCCGGGGCTCCTCCGTACCGAAGGGGCGGGTGCAGACGCGGCCGCCGGCGCGGGACGCCGCCTCCAGCAGCCGCACGGAGCCGGTCCCGCGGAGCCGCTGCACCGCGCCCAACCCCGCCAGCCCCGCGCCGACCGCCACCACCCGCCGCACGCCACTGCCCTCCATGGCGCCCACAACGCCCCGCCCCGTCCCGTCCCTTCCTGCTTGGTCTCGCCTCCGCCAGGCCCCGCCTTTTCCCATCACATTTCGTGTGTGACCTCTGCAAGTGCGGGGTAGAGGGAAGCCCAGGGAGGTGGGTTGGGAACGGGCTGGAAGGGGCTCTTCATCAGGGACTGCAGCGATAGGACAAGGGGTGATGGGTTCAAACTGAAACAGGGGAAGTTCAGGTTGGGGATAAGGCAGAAGCTCTTCCCTGTGAGGGTGCTGAGGCGCTGGCACAGGGTGCCCAGAGAAGCTGCGGCTGCCCCATCCCTGGCAGTGCTCAAGGCCAGGTTGGACACAGGGGCTTGGAGCAACCTGCTCTAGTGGAAGGTGTCCCTGCCTATGGCAGGGGTTGGAACTGGATGAGCTTTAAGGTCCCTTCCAACCCAAACCACATTGTGATTCTGTGAAGGGCAGAGCTCAGAAGATTGTTGTGATCAGTGGTGAAGTCAGCAGCGTGCCCTTAAGCCAGGAGGGACAAGAGTATCTTGGGGGCCGTAGGCAGGAGTATTGCAACAGATAGAGGGACAGGATCCTCCCCCTCTGCTTACTCTGGTGAGGCCACATCTGGAGCACTGTCTCCAGGTCTGGGCTCCTCAGTACAAGACAGACAAGAGGCCACAAAGATGATCAGGGTTCTGGGGCATCACTTGTGAGGATAGATTATAAGAGCTGGGCCTGGTTAGTCTGGAGAAGAGCAGACTGAGAGGGGGTCACACTAATGCAGATCAGTATCTCAAAGGTGGGTGCCAGGGGGATGGTGCCAGGCTCTTGTCAGTGGTGCCCAGCGACAGGACGAGGAGCAGTGGCCATAAGCTGAAACACAACTTCCACCACAACACAAGGAAGAACTTCTTTCTGTTGATGGTGGCAGAGCACTGGAACAGGCTGCCCAGAGAGGTTGTGAATCTCCCTTTCTGGAGACATTCTAAACCCACCTGGACACATTCCTGTGTGACCTGCTCTGGGTGGCCCTGCCTTGCCAGGGGATTGGACTGGATGATCTTCAGAGTTCCCTCAATCCTGATGATTCTTTATTTAGGAGGTATTTTCCCCACCTCTGGTTTTCCAGCAAGTAGCGAGATGGGACCACATGGAAGGGGATATGCACCGCAGCAGGACACCAGCCTGGTGGCAGCTTCATAGGGGAGCCATGGCTATACACCCATTCATCCCCTCCATCCCTTTCTGTGCTGTGACTAGGGGCTGGACTCAGACACCCCCCACCTCCCCATGCCAGACCCAACAATCCCAGCTCTTTCCCATCTCCTTGTGGGTTGGATGCTCTAATCTCCAACCCACTGGGGTCACAGCAGGGTCCCCACATCCCCCTTGCACAGCCAGGATGTGCCTCCAGCATCACCTTTCCAGCAGGGCTGCTTGACTGGTGGCTCCTGCCTGCCCTGATGCCTCAGTTGGCCCCAGTGCTGCCCGCCTGCGCAGCATCACTGGTTCATGAGGAGCTCCCAAGCGAGGAGGACAAACCCTGATGACCAAGGGCTGTGTGGGAAGCACCATCACCACAACTGTGTCAGGCCAGCAGTAAGGAGGGGACAGCATGGAATGTCCCAGTTGAGGGAGAGGGGCCAGGCCACTGGCATCTCCCTGGGGACCCACCACTCTACTGAGACCCCTCCATCAGTTCCAGGATGCTGTTGTAGAGGCGTTCAGGGGCATCCAAGCCCCAGATGAAGTCCCAGTGGTTCCAGTCGGGGATGTGGCCGTAGGTGACAAGGTGGGTGATGCGGGGCAGTAGCAGGCTGACGTCTCTCCAGTCAGCTGCCCAGTCCTCTCCTCCTGACCACACTGCGGTGGGCACGGGCATCTCCTCCACATGGTACAAGGGAGGTGTCTCCTGGAGGGACATGGGGGGCTTTGAGGAACTGCTGCTGCTATGGTCAACCCCTGCAAGCCAACATGTCCCCACACCACAGAGCCCTGGCACCTCCAGCCACCAGCACTGCTCGTGCAGCCTCCTACCTGGTGGTACACGGCTTGGTTTTCACTGCCATAGTCAAAGGCTTTGAATTCTCCTGATTTCATCACCTGCAAGGAGAAGGTAGATCTGCAGTGGGAGGCCAGGGAACACCTTTGTGTGAGTACTGCATCTCCCAGCATCCTAAAGGGATCACCTCATGAGAGAAGGTTGTGATGCACGGAGGTGGCATCCCTCCCAGGCTGGACTTTCTATCATTTTTAGCAGGGTGATGATTTGAACTCCACCACAACTCCTGTCACTAGCTATGGGTTAGCAAACTAAGGCATTTCATGTGGCACTTTGGCTGCTGCAGTGTGATGAAGGTACCTCTGCAGACCTGCTCATCACCAGCTCATGTGCAGGGTGCTGCTGGAGGACTTCACACTGGCAAGTTTTCCTTCAACAACCTGATCATCATTTTTACTTTCTTGCACACTCTGGGCTCAGTGTATAGAGACATCAGTCCCAGGTATTGTAAGGGTTGCTTCTATGCTAGGAACCTACCTGGGCCCAGTGTATCATGGTTTTGACAGATGTCCTATCTGGATAGTGAGATGTGTACACATCCAGCCGTGTCTGCAAGGAAACACATTCAAACTATCATAGACTAGAGCACAAGTCTGGTGAGGAGCGGCTGAGGGACTAAAAGTCTGAGAAGAGAAGGCTCAGGGGGGAACTTTTCACTCCCTACAACTGCCTGACAGGAGGATGGAGCCAGGAAGGGCTGGGCTCTGCTCCCAAGGAACAAGGGATGGGACAAGAGGAAACGGCCTCAAGCTGCACCAGGGCAGGTTTAGATGGAGCTGAGGAACAATTCCTTCCCCACAGGGTGCTCAGGCATTGGAACAGGCTGCCCAGGGCAGTGCTGGAGTCACCGTCCCTGCAAGTGTTCACACACCGTGGAGACAAAGCCTCAGTGCCATGGGTTAGTGGTGGCCTTGGCAGTGCTGGGGAGTGGTTGGACTGGATGAGCTTAAAGGTCTTTTCCAGCCTAGCTGATTCTGTGATTCTATGATTGCTTTCCAATAGATAGGAGCAAGGGTGGCAGTTGCCAGATGATGCATTTCCCAAAACAGCCACTGCTGAGCCAAGCTGCCTAGAGATTTGGGCCAGGAATATAATCTTCATTAAAACCCCATTGCTCTCAGACAGCTCCAGGAGAATGGTGAAGGATGAGGTACCCTCTAGCTCCTGGAGATACCTCTTCTGGGCTCCGGGACTGTGCTCAAGACCTTATTGACTACTTGTGGTCACCCAGATGCTCCTTCAGCAGGGTGGGCAGGAGTAGGAGCTGCACCCAGTGGTGCTGGTGGGATGTACAGCTGCTCTCAGTGGCAGTGGGTGCTGCTGGGTGCTCCCAAGCAGTGCAGCCCAGGGCTCCGGCTCTCTCATCCCCACGCGGAGTGCTTGCACTCACCGTGTTGAAGTTCTTCTCATTGTAGCCACCCAGCAGGAAGAGGAGGTTGGCACAAGGCTTGTGCAGCAGCGGGTTCCTGCAGAGGTGGGGGAGAAACCTCCACATCTTCCTAATCCGCAGCGAGGCATCCGTTCTGCCGAGCAGGAGCTGTAGGAGCAATGAGCAAGGTCGGTGTCTGGCGCTTCCCTTCCTTGCGCCTAGTCCTCAAATTATGTGTCGTCCCCCCAACGATGTGCCACCAGCCACTGTCCCCTCAGCTGGGTGGGGAGGGGATGTGTGGCACTCACATGGGTCAGCCCCGTTTCTCCTTTGCCCCCACCCCCCTGTGGTGTGCACAGCTCAGTACAGAGGCAATGCTGACTGAATGGCACCAGGGAAATCAGTACTCGGGACCCTCTTCTTCCCCCCCAGGTGCTGGTTCATTTGTCGTTAACGTCAGCACAGTAAAGCTGCTCTTTCCTAGGTGGTCTGTTCATGAATTCAACAAGAGCCCCCACAGAAATACCAGCTTCAATACCCTGAGATCCTGCAGAGATGTGCATGCAATAAAGTGAGCATGCAGGGTGCCTGCACCTGATGAATTGTGTCTGTGCCTGTAAATCAGCAGGAATTCACTGTCTCCCACTGTGTCAGGTAGCCCCAGGGGCTGTAACTGGGCATGATCCCTTTTCTAGCATTGGCGTGTTTGGGAGAGCATACAGCAATCCCCTACCTGGAACGTCTTGAATTGCCTGTCTAGAAGGAAGGACAGTTTCATGATGGGACTTCTGGCATGTTTGATTGTCACTACTGGAGCGAGGGCAAAAAACAGTTTGATTTTCTGAGCCAGCTCTGGCATGGATGAAAAGGCAATGAATGCTGAGGAAACAGAAAAACAACCTAAGAATGGTTTCATCTTTCTTCAGGTGCTTAATCTGAGGGTTTGCTTGCCCAGACCTGTTTAGCTGGCATTATACCCAATTAGAAACCTGGGATCTCTTCCCACCTTTCTGCTTAGCATTAGTGCTAGAGATATCCAGAAGGAGACAAAGCCTTTATCCCTATAGTTAGAAGTGGCTGATGAGGCACTTCAATGATTGCTACTGATGGGAAGTCCTGCCCCATTCACCAGGTGAAGGGAACAGTGCTGTCACCTTTTATCAACCCCTGCTAAAGGGTGTCATCATCACAGGTTATCTCATACCTCTGATGGCCCAGGTGAAAAGAAGCACAATGCATTTCATTGGAAAGTAGAAGCTGTGACATCCATGCAAAACACCTTTGGTTTTGATGCAGGATGCTGCAATTTGGTTTTTGAGGTTGAATTATAGTCGCAGCAAGGAACTTATTGAGACCACCGGGAGCTTTCTGACTGCCTTAGGAGCAAGCTGGTCCTCCTAGATGTCTGATATGAAAAGCGTGGCTTGTGTGCCTCACTGCAAGAGACCTTCTGTCTGCCTGCTTGTCAGCCCTCAAAGATTGGACCTCTCTGCTTCCTGCTTACAAACACCAAAATGAGTGTTTTCAAGTTGGTGCAGGCAGTTCTAACACACCGATCGTGCAGCCCTGGGAGTAGCCAATGTAATAGATCTGCTGCTGTCCAGTCTTCTGCAGGATGAAGTTGATCATGGCTGGGAGATCGTACATTGCCATCTCATGAAAGCTGCAACACAGGAGCAGTTCACTGGTTATAAGGTGAACTTATAAGCAAAGTTTCCTGTGAATTTTGGCTGTCTTGCGTTGCTTCTATACTGAAGGGCTTAATATCCATGGCTGATTTACCAGGAGAAAATTCCTATGAGGCAGGAGAGCCCTGTGCTGGGTGAAACTGCCCAGGGACTGAATGTATCCCTCCTGCAATGGCCTCATCCTTCCCTGAAAGGGCTTAGTCCTCCCATAGCCATGGTTAGCAGCGAAGAAGCTGTGCAGGGACTGGCCAGCTGTGCATGTAGGTCTGCAGCCCTAGAGTGCCTCATGTCAGGGTTACAGCACCACCTCTGCTCCTAGAGATGCTCTTTCTCTGCAGTGAATGGAGCACTGGTTACTGCCCATGTGCTTTTTAGTGTGACGAGGTGAAGCCCAGACCTACTTTATCAGGCTTTTCTTACTGGAAGCATGTTTATGAGCTTGGAAAATCCAGGACTGCTCTGAAGATCAGTTCTGGAGAGGCAGTAGCAGTCTAAAAAGCCATTCTTGGAAATAAGGTTTCTGTGGGCAACATCTAGGAGAAGGGTAGGTGGCAATGACACTTCTGGACCCTTTGCTGGGGGGTTTGGCAAGGGAAGTCCCTGCAGAGGCCCTGGAATAGGGCTGATGTCTCTACAGGACGGATGTCCTCATGCATGCAGCAGGGCCAGGCAGCTGCAGGGAGCTGCTGGCACCGTGTCAGCAGGCAGGTCTGCACAGGTACCTCCAAATCCCTGGCACATCACTGGGAATGCTGGGGGAGGCCGTACTTGAGACAAGGTGCTCCGACTTGCCTGCCCGGAGGCACCCACCTCTGCCTAGATGTTAGTGACAGGCAGAGGAACCGGCTGTGCTGTTGTGATCCACTCCAGCCCACCTGAAATCCCAGAATTCAGCCTGGTCAGCGGAAAGGTGCTGGTGTCGCTGGGACCAGCTCGTCCCTCGGCTGTTTCCCAGCCAGACATCATAGCCAGAGTCTGCGAGTATGAAGCCAAGGCTGTTGTTAGATAGGTTTTCCACCCAGTGGCTGCCTTCTCCGAGTAAGCCGTGCTGGAGAAACACAACTGGCTTGGGCTCTGGACATGAAAGAAACAGCACATTGCACTGAACCAGAATTACCCTGCTTATTCACCCCAAATTCAGGCCAATAACGCCTCTTTCTCACACTGCCAGAGAACATACAGTGTGCATTTGAATGACACCTCCTGGTGAAGCAATCCTTGCCATAGTTACCTTGTGGTGGTTGCCCTTGTTGTCTTAGGCTGGAGAGCTGCAGATGTCCCTCCTAAACCCTTCAGACCCCACAAGCTCATCCCCACAAGGTTAGTACAGTGGATACTGAGAACAGCCATGTGAAAGCTCAAATGTACAGGCTCATTTCTGAGATTGTTCAAACCCCAGAGGCATAGATTTATGGGGGGGGGGGGGGAGGAAATTAAATGCAGATATATCTCTTCAGATATGTCTGCACCCTCTGGACCTTTGTGAGACTCAGGTCTCTGCTGGATGTGACAGGCAGTTGTTGTGGTGCAACACACTCTCCTGTGCTGGCTGCTAGGAGTGTGACTGTAAATCTGAGAAGTGCTGCGCATTTGGTGGTTTTGCTGTCACGATAAATACTCCCCTGGCTGCTCAGGCTCATCCCATCACCTGCTTGTTATATTCAGTCTGTTTGGGTTTTTTTGCCGCCTTCCTTGTGAAATAGAGACATACCTCTGTTCCTAGGATTTGCTCTTCCATAAGGAATCCTGTTAAGGCTGACGTAGTAGCCATCATAAGTCAGGACTTCATACTCCTCACTGAGATACCCTCTGTGGCAGATGATTTGGCTCTGGGGAAAGAAAAACACAGGTAGGAAGCTGAACCTCCCCTGGCGCAGCTCGAAGCTGTTCCCTCTTGTCCCATCCCTTGTTCCTTGGGAGCAGAGACCAGGCTCCTCCTGGCTCCATCCTCCTTTCAGGTGGTAGAGAGTGATAGGTCCCCCTGAGGCTTCTCTTCTCCATATGGTGCTCCATGAGATGCTAAAGGGAAGAGGAGATGCTCAACTGTGGGCTTTGAGCAGGAGAGGGGTGAGTGGCAGCAGGGCTCCCCAGCAGCATGCAGCAAGAAATGCATTTGAGATGTTTCCAAACCCGAAGATTGAAACAAAAAGGGTTTGCTGACAGCTGACATGTCATGTCACACTGAGCTGATGCGTGGGGCAGATAAGATAGCAGGCATATCGAACCTGCTGAGCGGGGCTGACTGGAAGGGCAATAGGACAAACCCTGTAGGATTTGTCTCATGGTTCCTGAGGCTTTGCCTGAGCTTTATTTATGCTGAAAACTTGGCAGACTGGGAAGTTTCAGTCGGTGAAGTCCAGCTGTGGTCCTGCCTACACATCGCCATGTGCTTGCTTTGTCACACAGTTGGCAGAAGGGATTAATTTCAGCAATTTAATTGCCCATGTCACAGGTCCATTTAAAACCACCTCTAGAGAGTTGCAGAACCCACCTGGACATGGCCCTGAGCTGCTTGCTGCAGCTGAAAGAGAGAAGCCTTTCACAACTTCAGACCCTCCAGGAAGGTGTCTGATCAAATTCAGGCTGGGTTTACCCCTTCTCTAACTGACCTGCTGGTAATTGCACTTCATACTGCTGGGAGGAACAGGGCTCCTTCAGGAAGCAGGGCTTGCTAATGATGGTATGGAGGCAACGTCAGACTGCACCGCTCCAGAAAACCAGCACACATGATGAACCAAACCTCCTCCACATGCATCCCCTCCATCTCTCTCTCCCCCAGATAAACATCCCCGGGCTGTTCTCCTGACTTACAACATTCATGAAAGTCTCGGGATTTACGACCTTTTTCTGCTCGACGGCATCTTCTGAGTTCACGGATGCTTGTGTCAAAACCAGGATTGCAATCAACAGCCACATCTTGTGCCTGTGTAAAGTATTACTATTACTATTGTTGTTGCCATTGCTATTGCTGTTGCTGTGGCTATTTAACATTGTATGAATGTCTGCTTCCACTTGTTTATGAGGGGTTAGGTTCCTTATATATCTGAAGACCATATATCATGGTCTGGGCTGGAAGCAGAATGGATTCCCAATTCCAACTACCATTACAGTCCATGCAAGGCTCTTCATACTCCTCCGTACAGACTAGATCTGGTACTAGGCAAGACCCGTTTTTATATTTTTAGTGGTAAAAAGTAGAGAAACAGCTTTATAATGCAAGAACTGAAGTGATAGAAAATGCCCTCGGGTCAATTGTCACGGAGGGGGAATTAATTGAAAATGAATGAATGAATGAATGAATTAATTAATTAATTAATTCAAAGTAAAAGTTCCTTCTATAGGAAGGAACACATTTAGGTTGGCTGGGCTATGATTATGTCTATACTTTTGCTGTTTCTCTATTGCTTAGCTTTTGCACCCAGAAGCCACTGTGAACAGATGGATACTATAAACTGAAACTGGTAGAGCCTCATAGGAACGCTATTTATAAAGTAAGTGTAGCTTGAAAAAATCCACCCCAGAAACCATTTTGATCACCTTAGAGACTTTTTTTTACCAAGCAGAGATCTGTTTTTAATACACATACTTCATATTAGATATAATTTTTAATCCTTTGACAGGCTCTTAAAAGTTCGAGTTTAACTCCAACCCAGTAGCATGAGTTGCAAATCATCTCACCAGTCATCTGGTTGCTCTCTACCTCCCTTCTTCCTCCTCCTCATGGGTCTCTCACACGGTGAGACATATCATATTGAAATATTCCCAGTAACACTCTCTGTGGTATTGCCAAGAGGCAAGTTACCAAGAACAAGAGCAATCAATGCTTTTCCACCCTCAGGATAGCTCCAATGAAAGCCTGAATTACGTGAAGGAAAATACATTACCCAGCAGAGCCCACCGTCGTCACTGCTCAGGCTGGTGGTGTGAATGGTGGTGGCTCTATCACCACCACTGTTAAAGCCAGAACATTGTGTCAGATCCCTGACACCATGCTGGACCATGTCATGTGTCCTCCAATTAAGTGATGTGTGTGCTGGTCATACCTTTGATAACTTCCTGCTTGTCCACGTGGTTGTGACTTTCCTGCTTGCAAATGATTACGTTTCCAAAAGCAGTGGAGTGGTGCAGCAAGCATTTTCAGCTATGGAATTGCACCTTGAGCTCTTGGTAGCTACAGTAAAAAAATGTCAAGAAGTTTTCTTTCTAATGGATCATTTCCTAACTCCAAGGAGCTCTTTGGAAATGCCTCTTCTATGATGAGAGCTCCTGGAGAAATGAAAGGACTTGGACTGTATCAGCTTCACAAGGCCTCAGGGGTATGTCAGCCTCTCCATAGACACGTCATGGCTTAAACCCAGCTGGCAACTAAGTACCATGCAGTACAAGCCCTGTTGTGATCCTCCTGTCATTCCAGAAATACAAATGGGTTCTGCCCCTCAGTGGCTCAATGGCATTAGGATATCAGCATTATTCTCAGACTAAAGCCAAAATACAGCACCATACCAGCTGCTGGGGAGAGGATTAACTCTCCCAGCTGAAACAAGGACAGCACAGCAAGGACAGGTTCCTGCTGTTCCTTCACTGGCTTCCTGCATGGGAGACATTTGGTGCACCACTCTTCAGGAGTGACAGTGGCTCATGCAATGTCCCATAGCCCTTATGCCCAAGTGGTAGTGTGTTTGCAACTGACAACTTGCAAAACCTCTGCAACATTTTCTGGACAAGTACCACACGTAGGTTCTTGCTGATGGACACCAGAGCCTGTGCAATGATTCCATTTGGGTGAAGTGGTAGGTATTTCACAGAGCAAAGGTGCCCATTCTCCACCTCCAGCCCATGACCTTACAACCTACGCCTTTCTGTAGCTGCTTGGTAGCCATCTAAAAGACTAAGCCCTCGGTTGGCCATCAGGTGCTTTGGTTGAGTATACGTTTCCTGGTTATGGATTACGCTGACTTCTGATATTCATACCAGCCATAGTCTATGAGCAGTATGCGAGCTGTGGAACACAGCCCAGCTCAAGCACGTGTTACTCCATCCACCAGACTGTAATTTTCTGTCAGTGCCACAACTGGTGACGCAAAGAGAGACTGTGTGTGGGTGCTATCTTCCTGACAGCAGCTGTGGCCTGAGCCTTCACTGTTTCCTTACCTTACTTCTGTCCTTGTGCCTACTTTAGGCTATTGCAAATGTCCTCCCACTCCCACGAGTGCAAAAATCCCTCTACATAAGATGGACTTTACAGGTTGTGTAGAGAGCAATTCCACCGTGCGTCCCAGGAGGAGTTAGAAAACACCCTGTGGATGGAGAAACCCTTACCCCGCTTGTGTACTCCTACTCTAGCATCAAGACAGGCCTCACCTTTTACTTGTATGGTCAGCTACTTAATCCATTGTCAAGTCTTCTGTCTTCTACTTCCATGGAGTATTAGTTATCTAATGGAGGTACTAGGTACTAGTACTAGATAGGAGGCAGCAGAGATTTCTCCATGATCCTCAGGCCATGGGGTGAGGCTGTCGGCACAGAGTATCAGTGCTGGGGCTTGTGTGTGATTTCACACCAGGACCTATCATAACTGTGGTAGGAAGGAAAGAAGTTGGAGCAAAGAGCAGTTAGCTTTTTACTGGGAAACTCTTGTGGAGCTTAGTCAAAGGAAGAAATGAAGACCTTTGAGTTATTTGAAGTTAGGAGACCCAAGTTGGATGTTTTGACACACAGTATAGGTGGAAAGAGAAATACCATCATAACACTGCTGTGACTGTGCACTTAACAGAATTGCAAATAGTCACTAGTATAACCTACAGGCCAGGATGCCATAATACATGGTAAGATGCACAACATTAGATAGACTAATATGGGCATCTTAAATTGAACCATACTCATGGGATGGTTTTACGGCATTGTGGTGGGAACCAATGTAAGAAAACTCAAAGACTGTTTAGAAACAGCAAGGTATTTTATTTAGCTTTCTAACCAAGTAGACCGTACCAATCAGCACTTTCACACACAAACTTTCAGAGGGGCCAAGATGTGTGCACCAAGTGGCCTGTCCAGGGTCACCTGGGTGTGATATGGAAGGCAAGGATTGCCAGCTACTGAGTTCTCCATAAGCCTTCTGCGTTCTGCTTGCAGCCCGAAGTCCAAGTCTTTCTTGGCCTTTAAGGTACTGTAGGAGTCAGAAGTCACTACGACGTGACATATTGCTTCTGCATCTCATTTACGTCATGCTTCATAAATATAAGGCAATGTTGCTGCTGGTTGTCTCACTTTTTTGTTATCATTTTGTAACACATCCTGCTGTTGGGATAACAACAAGAGAAACAATCCATGAAAGGTCAGCTACAGGGAGCCTATAGCATACAGGGGCAGCTGTATCCCCACTGCTGCCCTGTTAACAGATGCAGGCCTTCTGCTGATGAGTCACCTTCTCTGTGGCACATCACAGTGCAAGCAACACCTTCCTCAGTTTGATTGGTGTTAATCATGTGCTTGTCTATCAATGCATACCATTCCTCTAACTCCTGCTCTGGTGTTTCTCCCAGTGTTCTCATGCATGTTCAAGCCTCCTGACTGTATGCCTACAATGCTGGTTCTTACCTTCTATCCATTGCCTCTTGCCAAGCACAAGGGTAAGCCAGTCACAAGCAGGGAGATGCTTAACTAGCTGTCATCAGAACTGGGATCCTGAAGGGGGGGCGAGACTATCATTCTGATTTTAGCAATAAGGAACATCAAATCTTACGTAATTCCTGTCAGATAAGCAGGTTTCCCTTGCAGTAACCTTGGAGAACCTTGCTCAAGTTAAAGAACCTAATGAGAAACAGTCCTAATCTGGTTGTACCTTTACTAGTTTAAAGCCCCCAGGTGGGCTGGGGTATCTCCAGCATCTCTGATTACACATGTAGTAGGGATTTTACTCTTGGTAGACTTGGGTAGTGAAGCTTGATGAAACAGTGTATTCTTTTTACAACACCTTGCTAGAATTGTTTATGCAATGTTTATTCACAGTAATGAAACTGAATTAGCAATGCACAAATGTGCCTTGAGGTTGGTTGTGGAATAGCTGAGATGTGGTCACCGGTGCTTTGTCTCATCTTACTCTTCCCGTTTCTTTGTTCAGAAGACCCCCAGAAGAACCCTGAAGTTCTTGTACTTTTTCTCTGATCTCTCTTCATTGTACAATTGGCTTTGAAGAGCCTGCTAAAGCTGAAGGAGTTGGTTTTGTTCATCACCTGAGCCAACTTCAGCAAACTTGCTCAATAAATAAACAAAATTTTATCATAGTGCTCTTGGGGTTATTTTAATTTTTATATTTATATATACATATAATTTGAGACTATATTTATAAATATATTTGAGAATATATTTATTTATATTTATATATTTGAGACCTTCAGGGAGTGGTAACATGTCCATGCTACATAGTCCAGGGTCAGGAATGGAGACTAACATAGGCTTGTAAAGAGTACAGGAGACAGGTACCGCTATACAAAAATACAAGCCTCAAAACCCAGTTGCTGGCTCTCTCTTCCAAGCAATCTCAAAAGCAAACTTGGAAATAACATAGGGCAGAACACAGAAATTGCTTATGGTTTCTGGAATAAGAAAGCAACATATCCTCAACTGAATAAAACTACTCAGCGATGCTGGTGACTGCTGGAAACTGTTGTCATGCTTGCTGTTAAGGACCAAAAAAAACATGTAAAGGGAGTACACTATCCGACATAAGTCGATTAAACCTTATCTTAGGTGAACCCTGGTACAAGTGAGTTTCTAAGTAACAGTGTAGGCCAGTATGTTGCTTAAAGCAGACACCAAAGCATAACCCTCAAGCAGCAAGGACACTGTAGTAGATGTGCTCACCGCCTCTCCAGTGTGGACACAGACTGGAGCTGGGCTACATGCTTCACAGTTCATGTCCGTGCTGCCTTTTCTTGCATTGACCATGATGGTGGTAGAAAATCATAGGTCAGCAAACGTGGTCCAACTACTGTATTTTGAACAGGATTTGTTATGGTTTCAAGCCCTTTTAGCCTTGTGTGCCATAAGCGAGCAAAAATGGCTTTGCATTAGCACATCTGGGAGGACAGTAAGAAAGTGGCTGAATTCTGTGGCTTAAGCCCAGCGAGCTACTAAGTACCATGCAGTTGCTCTCTCACCCCACCCTCCCATAGCCCCACTGTAGCATGGGGAGAAGAATCAGAAAAAGGTAAAACCTATGGGCTGAGATAAGAACAGTTTAATAATAGAAATAAAACTAAAATATAATAATAGAATAGAATATAACAGTACTCTAACAGCAACACAGCAAGGTAAGATAAGATAAGATGAGAAAAGAGAGGGAGAGAAAGGAATAATACCCCCTTCCCCAAAAAAAAAACCAAATGATGCACAATACAACTCTTCAACACCTGCTGCCCAATGCCCAGCCGGTCCCCAGACAGTGACCAGCCCTTTCTGGGTAACTCCCCCCAGTTTATATATTGGGCATAGAATCACAGAATCATAGAATAGTTTGGATTGCAAGGGGCCTTCAAAGCTCATCTATTCCAACTCCCTGCAATGAGCAGGGACACCTTCCCCTAGATCAGGTTGCTCAGAACCACATCCAGCTTGGCCT